AATATGTAATCTAATTGTTAATATGTAATACATATGTGTTTACATTGTTAATATGTAATATGTTATTCCAAATCTGAAAACATATTTAGATTTGGAAGTAATTTGCAAGAATCCAAAATTATTTTTATCCGAAACTAAATAAAAACGCTAAATTATTCAAACTAAATAAAGTCTGAAGCTTATTATATTTCTTTAATCAGAAATGAGAGATTTCAATTACGTAGTACGCTTACCTGTATAAAGTTGCTTTAAAAGTGCAATTTCGACATTTAAGAAAAACTGTTTAGATTGTTAATATTTTGATTCATAAAAACATATTTAGATTTGGAAGTAATTTGCAAGAATCTAACATTATTTTTATTCGAAACTAAATAAAAACACTAAATTATTCAAACTAAATAAAGTCTGAAGCTTATTATATTTCTTTAATCAGAAATCATAGATTTTAATTGAACGTCACACTTGCACGTATAAATTTGTTCAAAAGTGCTATTTCGGCATTTATGAAAAAGTGAAATAAATTTATTTTATTCAAATGCATTCTCCAGAATGAAATTTAAATATTTGCCGATTTAGCAACGTTTAAAAAAATTGCTTCCCGAGAAAAGAAAAATGGATTAATTTTCTTCTTTGAAAGGTTCTTTTCTAAAAGAGGAAAGAAATGGTTCTATATGGAAAAGCAATGTTCGGAAACAAAATTATTAGCTTTTTCAAAAAATCTCTTTCCAAAATTTCTTAAAAGCAAGTATATAAGAAGCATTATATTCAAATTGAAACCTATTTCTATTTTTGCATTTTATACGTTTCCTAGTTTATACACAGTTTTTAAATGTAAAATGCTATTTTTTAAAATAATTCTTAATTTAAAAAATAGGAATGGTAAGTCTTATTTCTAGTTTTTAAAAGGTGGACTTTTTTAAAAAAATTCTCGGACAATTTTGTAATATTTTGAAATTAAAAAACATTGGTAAGTAATCCGCTTCATTTTTATAAGTTTGACCTATAATACTACTTTTCAATTCAAAACAAATTTTATAAATTCACTCTATGAATACACTCTATTTTGTAAGTTTTCTTATCATTCTAGTTTTTAAGTGACTATGTTTTGAAGCTTTCAAGACTAAATATTTTTTATTTGTGCTATACATGTCAAAAATTATAAAATAGCTCTGACAAAAAATGCAAAATGTAATTCTAATAAAGCTCGTAAAAATATAAAAAATAATGTATAATAAATGAAATAAAAATGAAAAGTAAACGAAATAAATGTATTGTTTCAACACAACTCTCAAACAGCATTGATTATCAGAGCATAGTTTTCCTTTCAGAGCATTCAGAGCATGGTCAGTGCTTAATGAAAAATTATGAACTTATTAAACTAAGTTTTGGAGATTAACGCCGTAGCTTTTTCAGAATTTAATACTTGTTTAAAACATATTTTGAAAAATCAAAGTTTTTGGAAATAGTATTATTTTATTACAAAAATAATAAAAACAGTTACGTTCCTGGTTCATTACTGAATAACAGAAGCCTTAATCGTCTTTAAGACGACATGTAAGTTCATAAACTTATATTTATCGTGGAATAAACTTTGCTTCCAATTTTGCATAAAAAAATTCATACTTAAGTAACTTGTTTCGGAATAAAAATATATTTGAAACTGTTTTGATTCAAAAAAGCATTTAAGTAACAGCAGTTTACGTATCTACAGTGTTAAAAAAATAAATATGAATAAATAAAAAAATAAATAAAGGAATCACCCTGAATAACTTTTGTTGTAATGATCGAATTTTCACGCACTGGAACTCAATATTAATGGTTTGAGGGAGTGGCCTGAAATATGCTATATGATAGTGCAGGCGCTACTTTAAGTTACGAAATCAGACACAAAAACGTACTTTCACTAAATAAATATTCCCCAAATTAGGAACCATGGTCCCAATTGTTTGGTCTGAAAAGCAATAGAAAATTTGGACCACTTAATGATAATTTTACTTTTTGTATATTTCAACATACCTTGAGAATTTGCTTCATAAGAGCACTCTCTTGAAAATGATGTAAAAATTTTGTATACCTTGCTGTTGAAATTTTTTTCGACTATTATTCAGTAAAATAATAAAAAATAATAGATAATTATTAAAAATTATTTTTTTTTAAAAAAAACTATCTTTGGATGAAATAATTTTATGATTGTGTGCAAAAATTTTTTCAATCTACTTAAAAACTTCTCGAAACATGGCAAAATACGTTAAAAGTAAAATTAACATTTTGGGGTTCAAACTTTAAACCGCTCCCCTCATCAAACTGATTCAGACCATACCCAGATTACTACTCCTCATGTTTTGGGGGTAAAAAATCCAAATCTGTCTAAAACAAAGTATGTTTATTTAGAGAAAGTACGTTTTTCACTGATTTCGTAACTTACAATATCATCTGCACTAATTAATTCGCGTATATGAGTTACCCCTTCTAACCATTACAATAGAGTTTTAGTACTTGAAATTTCGATCGTTAGATCAAACATTATTCAAAATGATTAGTTTTTTTTTGTTGCACAATGTCTTTCAAAACATTTGATCTAGGGGTTAGATTTTTTTCTTCATTAAGATGTAATCACATTGCTTTAAAAAACTAATTATCAATATGTTACTTTATTAGTCTACACAATAATTTAAGATACGAAATCATACGCATAAACGTAGTTTTTCTGAATTAAATGTACCTTCTTTTGACGGGTTCAGATTCTTGAGTGTTAAAATATAAGGGGCAGTTGAAATCTCAAATATCAATCGTCAGTCCCTGGCCAAATTATTAGACACACTATAAGATTCTATGTACACCCTTGTGCAAATTAATTGAAACAAGCTTTTTTTTCGTGTTTTTTAAGGACGATGTTTTGGGGTTGTTTCGGTTACAATGGGGTTGGACCTTGCAGCCTATTGACGGTATGATGCGTTCTGAGCAGTGCATTACTATTCTGGGTAAAAAAGTTGTTCCAGAGTTGAAGAAACGATACCCTGATGGAACAGGGATTTTTCAACAGGATTTAGCTCCTTGCCATATGTCCAAAATTGTCAAGAAATTCATGTCTGAGAATCAAATTGAGACATTGGAATGGCCAGGGAACTCTCCGGATATCAACCCAATTGAGAATCTCTGGGCCATATGCAAGAATCGCCTATTAAATATGGACTGTACAACTATGGAGAAGCTAATCACGGCATTAATTCATGTGTGGTACAAGGACACAAATATTATAAATGACTGTAAAAAATTAGTGGAATCCATGCCGAATCGTGTCCAAATGTTAATAAAGTGTCGTGGAGATCAGATTATGTACTAAAAATTTTTGAGTTTGCATAAATTTAAATAAAATAGCATTTTCTCTTAGTTTTCTGAATTTATTGAATTTGTTTCAATTAATTTGCTCAAGGGTGTAAAATCTTAATTATCAGTTGATGCTTTACAGCTTGATTGTTATTACACTACTTCAACCGGTTTGCATTTGTTTACGTGTATCAATTGGTTAAATTAGCCGATATATCATATAAATTCAACGATATTATAAATTAGACGAGATATATATAATAAAAATATGGAATATTTATTAAATCAGGTATTATATTAGTATATTATAACGATTAGACCAAATTATTCGACGTACTGTAGTGTTTTAATAATTACATGTTTTTCGCGAGTTTATATGCCAGGGGTGGCCAACCTGCGGCTCGCGAGCCACATGCGGCTCTTTGAAGGATTATTTGTCGCTCTCGATATATGTACCCGAGTTCCCTTTTCATTTTTGTGCTATTATATATTTAAAAAAATTATTGTCGTTCCGTATGTGTTTCAAAATATCTTTTAAATTACTGACAGCAAATATGAAAGACTAAGTGCAACGTTGTAACAAATTTCATTTCCATCTAAGTTAAGAATGATATGACTCATCGAAAACTGCGTGAACGAACATAAACACTGGCGTAATCGTCCGACTCCAGACCGATTAACATGATCTGCCAGTAATTTATTTCTTTTTTTTTTCTAATAAAAAGTAAGCTAGAAGGAATATTAACGGAATTCCAAAATAGATTTCAAAACTTGAAATATTTTAAATCGTCTCTTGATCTTTTTCTGAATCCATTTCAAATTAACATAATTCAAGGTGAGTGTTTTCCATTTCCAATATAATTATGGCCCAATAAGCATCTTGAGATTTAGAATTAATATAGATGGAAGAAGATTGCTCTACAATTAAAATATAAGTCGACGTCGATTACTGAATTTCGGAAATTTGTACCAGAATCGAAGTATCCTGAATTAAAAAAAGCTGCTTATCGAATTATTTTAATATTTAGAACAACGCACTTATGTGAATCATTTTAATCCACTTTAAAATTCACGAAATCCAAACACCGATCAGTATTAACTAACCAGTATCTCAAAGAATTGCTGAGAAGTGCTGTCACCAATTATTCACCAAATTTTAAAGAATTATCAAGAGAAGTAAAATAAGCGTGTTTACATTTTAATATTTAAATTCAATACACATATTTTGTACTTTTATTTATATGCTCTCAATAAATATAATTTCTGTAAAAAAAAATTTTAATACCTTTTTTGCATGCCCTTTAAATACGTATTTCAGTGCGGCTCGCGAAAAATTTCATAAAAAATGGCTCGACTATCAAGGAGCTTGGCCACCCCTTACGCGATACTATATTTAAACACACGTGTAATGGGTTTTTATTAAGGAGATTTTTTTGTATACTTCCTATTTGATTAATATATTATTTTTTAACGTATTGCATTACAATGTTAACTAATTGATACGTGAACATAAACAAGTACAAACTGGTTTCAGCCGCGTCAAAATAATACTGAATAATATCACCTGATAATTAAGATTTTGCGCAGAATCTTATAATGCGTCTAATAATTTGGCCAATAACTGTATATATCACAAATTTAACCCTTTCTTGACACGGATTTATTCCACTCACCTGTATATTCCGTAATAAAGCCAGAAAAGAATTATGAGGGTGCAGTAGAAATAGCCTATGATGAGGGATGTATTAAAGACAGGGTCTTTCAGAAACTGTACTTCACATTCACCATCTTCTAAATCTCTGTAACCAATGAAATGTTCCCATCCCATGATGCTGATGAAAAATACCAAAAAAGGAACAATCCAAGTCACTGCCACCATCCACATCACTTTAGTTTTTGTTCTCCAACTTCTATATCTTGCTGCAATTTTAACAGAGCAAAATCTATCAATTGTTATCAATAAAACTGTGTAAATGGAGACTAAACAAACAGTATGATCAGTAGCTAACCACAGATCGCAAGTAACAGGACCCAAGTCCCATCTGCCCATCAAAACATAAACTGCATAAAAAGGCATGGATATGACACCAATGCACAGATCTGAGACAGCTAAAGATCCAATGAAGTAATTACTTGGTTGTCTTATACTTCTTTCGACAGCAAATGCAGTTAAAACTAAGATGTTTCCTGCTACTGTGATTATAATACATAGACCAATCATAACACCAATAAATATACTGAACCATATGGAAAAAGGTAAAACCCATGTCTTTGGAGAATCTGTAGTTTCGGACATGTTCTGACAAGCTTCGGTTGTTTCATTGGTTGGAAAGGTATAATTAGTCAGAATTTGATTCAAAGACATTGTGCAGGTTCTTTTCCTGAAAAATAAAATCACCACTTCAGTACTATAAGTAAAAAAAAATAATGACTAAATAATTGAATAATTTTTTATCCAATGACTGGATTTTGTAAATAAAATTCCAGAACTCCTCCAAATTTTAAAAAATCAAATTTTACTTTCTCTCTTCAGAGATTAAGTGGTCAATGTACCCTAAGAACAATTATTAATTAATTAGCTCAGATTTTTTTTAAAAAAATATACATAAAAGTTCTCAATTTTTAAATCTTTGAAACTCTGAGTTTCTGCGTTATTTTTGAAAAATAAAAAATAGCCGAATGATTTTTGCTATAAACCAGGGCATTCATTTGCACCAATAAGAACATTTTTTATATTTGATGAAGTGAAAAACAGAAAAAAAAATCGACTGCACTGATAAAATTTGCCTTAAAATAACTTTATTAACTTTTAAAACACTTATTCAACGTTCAATTTTATGAAGTATATTAAACTGATTGTAAAAAAAAGGGAAAAAAAACTTCGAAATTCGATCTTTAACAGAAAAAGACATCCCTGAGGATTCAAATAACATGTAAATACGAAGGAATTTTATAAATTGTGACGGAAGAACCATCCTTTTTTTTGCCAGAAACACTCAAAACCTTATAAATAATGCAGTTCGAGAGAGGAATTTTTTCAAGTGTTTGGGATTAATTAAAAATTTAATTTAGGCAAGAAATTATTTTTCTATATTTTTGTCAATATTTGATTAAAGTGACACCTTAAAATTGTTTTAAGAAATCTAAGTAAAAAAATTATTTTAATAATTTCCTCAGATACATATAAGCAATTGGTCCGTGTACGAAACAATCATGTCATATATGAAGCATGAACAACAGTTTCATTTAAATTAATTAAAAAATAATAGTCCAATAAATGTAAATGGCTAATCGCAACTTAAATTCCTTTTTTTTTAATTATTTATTATCATTTAATGCATGGGAATTTTTCTGCATTCAAGTATAAGCATCTATGATCAAAACTTAAATCATTTAAAAGCAGTCGATCCTTAAGAAAAAATAAGCTTCAGGGGCCAATCAACATTGTCATAAAATTTTTATTTCTTTCAAGTTGTTTATTTTACCAGTTTTTAAAATAATAAAAATTTCAGCTCCTTAATGACATCGAATATTTATTTACGAAGATGGTTTTATTTTTGGTGTTAATTTATAAAAATAGACGCATGACAAATGATGTTTAAATTTGTTTTTATTTCCCGTCGAAAAGTTTTTAGAAAGTACGAATGTTTTGCTAAATTCTTTTTCTTACATTCTCTAACGAATAGTAAACAAAATCCGAAACATTGTAAGTCTTCAATAAGACTTTCTTCATTATGTAATAAAGAAGCTTTTAATAAAGTCTGTAAAAATAATATTAAAAGAATAAAAGATAACACTTACTCGAGTGTTAGGCGTTAGTTGATACTCGTAGCGCTTAATTGAATAAATCTATTTTTGTTCTCGTTCTTTATTTTTGAAGAATTCGACACTTTAGGCTTATCTTTATAATTACCTTTATATCTCGAAATAGCTCAGTCATAGATCAGTATTAAAAGTTATATTATAATAGCATATTAAAAATCGCATAACCGACAGTGATATTACATTTTTGTTTAATGACAAATATTTGAAATTGCCTGCAAGTCAGAACCATTGTGTCAGACCTTGGTGAACTGAACGGCCTTTATATGCAACTGTTAAGGAATATCAGTTTAAAGGAGCACATAAGTTTATATTTTTTCTAGAATTAAAAATACATTTTTGATTACATTAATTTTTCTGAAAATTTTGATAAAAGGTACTTTAAGAAAAAAACATCAAATAATCATCACAATTACTAACTTTATTTAGTTATTATTAATACATATATGTTATTGTGAATGTCAGAAATATTTGTTATATCCGATACTTATCATATTAATTTATTCTTTGATATTATTACATTTATTCGATTTTTTAATATCTGCTGAGAATAGATTTGAAGAAACACCAGTGTTCGGAGTTCGAAGTGCCGGTTAAATGTATACTGTGCAGTGGCACTTGACCTTAACAACATTGTTGTAAGGCATACCGGGCAAATGTATACCGGTCAGAGGCACTTAACCATATATATATATATATATATATATATATACAACCAAATTTTAAATAGGTGTGTACTTTTCTGAAATAGCTCGAAATTTTATAACTCAATTAAATAATAAATTTTATGTAATAATTTAATAATTCTATGGAATGTTATAATTTCTATAAAATGTTGCTTTTTGAATTCGACCTTTTATAATTGTAATTTTTGAACTATATGTCATTATGGATTATTCCCTTGAGCAAGACATACATACATATGGCTACATATTGGCAAGTTGCTCTTGGTGACTATTTTGGTGTCTTGATTAATTCATAGCGCGTGTGCTAAATTTGTTTTACTTTGTCATCTTTCTAAAAGGTAGCAGACTTTAATATTTTTCATGACAATTACAACTTAAGAAAATAATGCGTGCAATTTAAGTGTGTTGTAGTCTAGGCAGTAGAAAAGGAAGCGGGAATATAAGAACAATTGTCCCGGAAATATTAATTGGCATTCAAAAGTATTCCAGATTAATTGTTAAAATTTGTTTCTTAAATAATTAAAGTTAAAAATTTCAATCTTGAAAATATTCCAAATCAAAAGTAAGAAAAATATTTCAGTACAAAAACTAATTACTTTTATTATGGAAAAAGTGAAACTTTTTAAATCTTTAATTTTTGAAACTGAGCCTTAAAAATTGCCAGATTAAAAGATATAAAATATTTCGATGAACTTTCATTGTTCAAATATTAGATTGCAGGGAATTCATTTAAATTGAAAGTGCTGCGTAAAAAAGAATACTTCACGCTGATAACAATCTAAAAATAGTAAACGTAAATAAAAAAATTATTTTTTAAAAAATAAATATTTTTGTAACTTATATAAATTAAGAACTTGATTGTGGTTATAATTCATAAAAAATACTCATTTAATTTAAAAGCGGATTTCACTTTTTTTGAAAATATTCGAAACACATTTTCCTTTGTGTTTATTTTTTTCCTAGATTGAATCTAAAGTAAATTTTGGAAACGGTTCTTTCAGTTTTCCCCATTTTCCANGGTCTGCTGTTCAACGACTGTTTTATATATTTATATATATATATATATATATAACAAGGACAAAGAGTGACGCAACAAGTGAGTGGTTAACAAGTGACAAAGGTGGTTTCTGAACATTCTTTAAATACTTCTAATACATTGTTTAAATCTGATTACAAAGCAAAAATTATGCTATGTAATGTTTAAAAAATATGAAGTAAACCTGCAATTTTCATTGTCAAATTTAAAAAAAACTCAAAGTATTGACTTAAATGCGATATCACTTTTAATTCCATTCGAATGGAATTAAAAGTTATATCCCCAGGATGCATCTACACTGAGCTTAAAAACCAAGTTTTCAATAAAAAAAATCTTTTTTTTGAAAGTAGAGAAAATTGAAATTTGTTACTGACATTTCTATGAATAAATTAGTTTTCAAAATATTACAACCGCTATAGTGGCAATTATTAATTTTCAGAGAAATTAGTAGGCTTTAATTTTTTTATAAATATTTATTTTTAATTTTCTTAAAATTTGTTCCTTTATTCGCAATTTTCTTTCATAAATTTTTCTGATCGTTAAATATTGCAAAAAATAAAAGATTAAATTGTTGACCTTTACATAATGATTTGAAATATTTAAAAAAATTTCTTTGTAGAAATAATCACCACTAAACTTTTTATTGTAGTGTGAGGCCATTAAAAAGCATAAAAGATCCATCATAAGTGTTTTTTTTCCTCAAATACTGCTTAAGGTACACAGAAACTGATCCTTTTGTTGATTTGCATTTCTCCATTATTTACATAATGCGTCTATAAATGAAATTAGAATATTTTCTTTTACAACATCAGAAATGTTTTTGTATTTTTCATTAATCCATATTTCTATACAGTTTTGTATCAATAGAATTTTTCTCTAATTGAGTTGAGGCAATGTATTAAATTAAATTAGAAATTTCATATTAGTTTAAATAAGAAAAGATTTTGGAATTTTCTCCTTGAAAGTGAGAAAAAACATCTAACAATCAATAAATAAACAGTTCAGAGTAAAGTTTTATTTCTAGATAAAGCAGTAAAGCAGTTTCTAATATCAGACGAATAACGCCACTGGAAAAATTAACTGGTTATTGCTCAGTTTCATCCTTCTTTGCTTTGGACAGTAGGTTAAATTTTTCTCAATCAAATATTAATTTCTTGCCTTTAATGTGCAGTACGAAAGGAACACCCAGAATAACTTCTGATATGGTGATCGGATTTTTATGAACAAGGACTCAATCTTAATGATGTGATCTCAGCTATGCTAGTTAATTAGAGCAGATAATATTTTAAGTTGCGATATCACTTTCGGAAACGTACTTTCTCTGAATAAACATAATTTTTTCCCCCGACGGATTTGGATTTCTTACCCTCAAAATAAAAGGGTAGCCGCAATCTCGAAAATGCGTGTCTATTAGTTTGGACCCCTTTATTTTGGACCCATTTATCTTAATTTCACTTTTCGCGTATTGTACCACATTTCGAGAATTTCTTAAGCGAATTGAAAAATTTTTGACCGTAATTATAATATTTTCTTAGATTATTTTTTATTATTTTTTTTAAAATTATTTTTTAGATTAATTTTTAATACTTTATAAATAACAGTCAAAACGATATTCAACTGTAGGATCTACAAGCTTTTACATCACTTTAAGGAATGTAATTTTTATGACAAATGACAAAATTTGAGTGAAATCAGTGTGAATGGTTCTTGAGAGATAACATTTTAAGTATACGGCTGTTTCAAAATTTGAAAATAACTGAAAAGCAGTTCGGCCGATTGCTCTCAAATTTTCTAAGATGCCAAAATTTGCCGATTTAAAATGGTGTAAAAAATTGCA